ACAAACGCGCGTGTAGTTTCTCTCAGTATTAATAGATAATTAATTATAATGCCTATATAAACAATAAAAACGGGATTACACATGTGTAATCACAAAAATGAATTCAAATATTTAAAAAAACAAAATTTTGTGCGAAAATTGTGATTATAAAATAGAAATGATCAAATTATGCCTACTTTTTCGTTTAGTAAGAAAAATGAATTTCGTTAAAAATTAAAATTTACAAAATTTATCACTGATTTGCTAACTTTGCATAAAATTATATAAGTGCCTTACTTGTGCCTTCAAAAAATGAATTAATTAAATAATAGAGTTAAAATTATCGATCACCCCGAGTTAGGTTGTTGACTCGGGGTGAAAAAGTGAATTAGTTTTTGAAAATGTTAGTTTTTGAAATGTTACTTCAGTAATTTACAACAAATTCCTGTTACAAATAACAAAAAAACTAAAAAAATTTGTGAGCAAAAATTTTGAATGCTTTGCTAACTTTGCACAAAACTTCATTTTTAAGCCTCCCAATAGTAAATTGAATTTTTGAAAATTTATAACTATGATTGCATAAATGCAATTATTTTTAAAAGTAATAAAATTTTTCGCAGAAATTCAATTATGTTCAAGAATTTTTTAATATTCTCGTCAAAATGTCAATTATTTTTAAAAAATTTAATAAGAAATCTATTATTTACAATATTTTTATAAATTTCTTCGCAATAATTTAATTATTTTTATAAATAATAAAATTTCTTTTAGGAATTTAATTATTTTCATAAATAAAACTCATGGCAGAATTTAAATTATTTTTAATACAATTTTAATCAAATTCATCGAAAATTGTAATTGTTCTTACAAATTTTATGAAAAATCGTTAAAAGAAATAAATGATTTAAAAATGTTTTGACAAAATTCTTTATGAGACGTCAATTTAAAAAAATTTTAAATATTAAATAAATTATTTATTTTTGCATTTAAAATTTTAAATGATTGAATTATCTAATAAAAATTTATTTTAAAATGAATTTCAGTTAAAGTTTTACATAATAATTGAATATTAAAAGCATTATAGCATGAATTTTAAGAAATAATTAAATTTTAAAATGGTTTCAAATCAAATTCTTTAAAAATTTGTATTTTTCATACTTATAACTAACAATTCTGTAGAATTAATTATTTTAATAAAGTTTAATTGAATTTTATCCTGAAATTATTTAAAGTGTTTATTTTTTAATTCGTATTTAATTGAAGAATTTCTGAATAATTTAAATTTCGTAAAATTGATTTGTAAACAAATCGATTTTAAAATTCTCAAAGAACTTTTTTCAAAAATTATTAAAAATAATTTATTCCTGTGAGAAATTAATAATGATTAAAATTTATTTAGAAAAGAAGTTATTGATGTTTTCAAATAATTTCAGAAATTGGTAAATAAATGTAATAGAACATTTTTTGAGTGTCTAATCATTTTTAGAGTGTATCAGAATTTTCTTTAGGGTTAGGGAAGAAGTCAAAATTTTGTCAAGTAATTAAGTTTTTCATATAAAAAAAAGAAAATATTTTGCAGGATTTATTTTTTAGAAACAAAAGAAATAATGAATAATATAATAACATTAATAATTTTTTTAAATTAATAAAAATATTTTTGAATTATTTGAGAAATAAAAATAATATTATTAAATTAAAAAATTAGTGAAAAAATAATGACGTATAATATTATCTATCAGAATATATCAAAAAAACAAAAGCATGTCTAACTTCAAGTGTGGACAGACTGGACAGACCAGGACAGACTGGACAGAATGGACAGAATACGACGATTATTATAGTTAATAATAATTAATAATTAATTGAAAATGTGTTATACCCCATTTTGAACTATTTTTTAATCAATGACTTTAATCGAAAACTGATAATAAACTTCAACACAAGTTAAAATATAGAGTACTCTATTGACGTGCACCAAAACTGCGGAGATAAGTTACTTTGTATATAGTGCCAAATCCACGACCCGATAACAAGTATGTACATATGTATTATATGCTCTAGACTAGAAACAAGTAACAAGTTTCTCGTGCAAACATCCTCCACACATTTTTTCAAAATATATACTAGAGAAAATTTGTGTAACAAAAAAGAATATTTCCGAGTTTACACCCGTAGAGAATTGTTTTAGTTAAATCAAATATAATTTATTTGTTTCAAATCAATTTTTTATCTGGTATAAGTAAATTTTATTTTATTTTTTTTCAAGTAAATTTTTTATCAGCTTTAAGTGCATTTTTTTTAGTTTAAAATTCAAATAAATTTTCTTCGTTTCGAGTACCTAAATTTTATCTGCTTCAAATAAATTTTCTTTGTTTCAAGTAAATTTTATTTCGTTCAAATAAATTTTCTCTGTTTCAAGTAAATTTTACTTCGTTCAAATAAATTCTATTCAGTTCAAATAAAAGTTTTATTTGTGTTGAATAAAATTTTCATTTTAAATAAATAAATAATTTAATATATACCGAGACAAATAATACACTGAAAAAACAATATATTTGAATCAAACATAATTATCTTTGTTATACAAACAACTAAAAATTACGTTTAATTCAAAGAGAAATTTTTTTTTAAATATAAAAATAAGTCGCCAACCAAAAAAATATGTTTGAATTAAACATATTTTATAATTGAATTAAAGGTCATTTTTATTGAACCAAACTAATTATGTGTTGAATCAAAATTATTATGTTTAATTCAAAAATAATTTTTGGTTGCTTGTATGACAAAGATAATTATGTTTGATTTAAACATATTTTTTTTAATCCACAAATAAGTAGCCAACCAAAAATATATGTTTGAATTAATTAATTCAAACCTATTTTTTTGGTTGGCTACTTATTTGTGAATTAAAAAAAATTTTTTCTCAGTGATTTTTAATTTTTATTCTAGTCAGTAAGAACTTCACAGGAAATACATTAATAATATTAGTAAATATGAGAGAAAAGATAGTTGGCATAATAAACGATCTACCAGGCGCTGATATATATTAAATAACAATCAAATTTGAACCAACGATTATCAATTTTACCTTGATAAACATTTTGCGCCAAGGATTAATTTTATAATAATAATTCTCATTCGAATTTTGAATAAAATAGTAAATGCAAGTAAATATTTTCGAGAAAATTATTATTAATGCCAAAACACTTTTTGCATATTTTAAACTAAAATATTCGTCTATTCTGATGATGTTATGTTAACAGAAAATTTATTTTACGCAGGTTCATTGTTTAATTTACACAAAGAAACTTTGACTGGGAAAAATAATATTTCTCTCTCTCTTTTATTTTAATTAATATAAAATATTATTATTTTTTCCCTAAAGTTCTAAAATGATCGATATTTATTCATTCCTTTTTCAAATTAAAATTTTATAACAATAATAATTAACTTTTTATTAAAAAAAATTTGTTTTAAAAATATTTAATTTATGTTCTTGCTTTTTATTCAAAATAAATTTCTCTTTAAAACAAAAAGAGTCAACTTTTTTATTTGTTTCTATAATTAAATTGTTTGGTTTAACTAAAATTTTATTTAAACCAAGAAAATAATTCTGTAACTTAAAAAGAATAATTGCTTTGAAACAAATAAATTGTTCTTGAAGCAAATAAATTTTTTTTGTATCAAATACACTTTGTTCGTATCAAAAAATTTTTTTGTATATCAAATACATTTTTTCGAATCAAAAGAAAAAAAAATTCGTTGAAACGAAAGCAAATAATTTACTCAAATCAACAAAATCTTTTCCCTGGTTATATATTCAATATCAATATTATAATAAATATTTGTTAAATAAATATTTATATAATAAAATATATTATTATATATTAATGATTTAACGATAGTTTTACCAGCATTGTCTTCTGTCTAACTGTGTAATATAATCATAGAAGCCAAATTTAATGACATGTGGTTACACAAAATAATTCAATTAAACGTTGACATGTTATACGAAATTTAGTTAACTACTCTATTATAACTCTCTAAAAGTGATAAAAGCACAATTTTATTCAAACTTCTCTCTCATTTTTCCTCTTCATCACCAATATAATTCTCGCCATTCCAACTATTATTTTTAAATTCACGTCCCCGTATTTAAGTTAATTTATTCTAAATTTTATAATTTTATCAATACAATAGAAACAATCAAGTAATTGTATCAGAAAATAATTATTTGAAATTAGTTACTAATTGAATTCATGACGCCACTTTTCATTCTACTGCCAATGGGTTAAAATATTCGCGCGATGCACAATTATTTTGATATATAATTTCCATGACAAATAAATTTGTAAAAAATTACAAGAGAAAAAAAAATTTTAATAAAAAAAATTAATTTAAATGAAAGATTAATTGAATTCAATTGAAAAAAAATTTAGAAGAAAAATTTTTGATCGTATTTTTTTTAATTTTATCCTATTTTCAGAAATTCTAAATGTGTGTGTGTGTGTATTTTTTTAATTAATTCTATTTTTAGCACTTTTATTGAGTTGTGCATTAAAAGTGAGGCGAATAAAAAAAGAACAGAATGGGGAGGTTTTATTTTCCTCTTTACACGTTTTAATTATAATACAACTTAAGTTCAAATATCAAGTTTTTAATTTTGCACTATACTCGAGTTTTATTCCGCAAAATGAAATTTTCTTTGAATTTTTTATAGCTTGTATTTCTAAATAGGATTTCACTTTCACATAATTAAACATTGCTTTAAATTATATTTGTGTTCCGCACAAATTTTCAACCATCAAATGAACGAAATATTATGTGTTAAAAAAATGTTTTCATAAATTACAGCGATTGTAATAAAAATTAAACACAACTTTTACATTTAGAAAATATAATTTATTTTTATATTTTAGGCATATAATTATTTTTTTCGTGACGCAACATTATTATATAATAAAAATTTAATTTAATTTAAAAATAAATGTTTAAAATAAGTAACTTTTTTTTAATTTCAGATTATTACCATCCGAGGTGAGATCAACATTAAAGTAAATCGACATAGAAGAACCCACTGACGACATATTATAGAAACGAAATTTTTTAAGAATGAGACATGTCAAGAAAAGTGTTTATCAAAAAACAAATAGAAAACTAGAAATTTATTATAATATAATAGGCCTAATTTAGACACTACCTACAATGAAGTTGTAAAGTTATTAAAATAAAAATATAAAAGTTAGCTGTTCAATAATAATAATTATTATACTGTAAATTAAATTTTAAGAAAAGTATTAAGTAAAAGTATTACTAATCATTTATAATTTTGTAAAATAATATCACACTTACATCACACAGTGTAAAATATTTATTACGAAAAAATTTCTAGATATACATGTCGAAATTGCGAACTTTCTGCACTACTCCATATTGTTCGATTGTAAAATTGTGGAACAGATTTTTCAAAAATTCAAATTCCAATCAAAAATTTTTCAAAGAAATATCAAATTATTTTTTTATTTATACATTTTTTAAAAAGAATATCTCTTCCAAAATTATATAAAGTATGTTTTTTAAATTTATTTTCAAATCATTTATCATATAAGCTGACATAGTATACGTGTAAAGAAAATTAATAAACAAATATAAATGTATAAAATTCATTAAAGAAATGCGAATATAAAACACCGAGTGGTTTTTCATTATTTAAATGTCACTCAATTTTCGAGATTATTTAAAACTTTCGATAATGTCAATTTCTGACTTGGATAATGTCAACTTTTTTTTTATAAAACGTTGGTCAAGTTTAAAATGTTTAAAATTTATTCTATTCATTTATTTATTATTCAAATCAATGATTTTATAGAGAAAAAATATTATTTTTTCAAGTTTTGGCTAAAATCTTTTAGTAACAATATTTCTACATCAAAAAATTCAAAAACTAAAAATTTGTAATCAAAAAAATATTCTTTTCCATGTGGAAAAAATTTTTTTCTTACAGTCTTTGAATCATGAAAATTGTGAACCTCATCAGAGCCTAGTAAATTATTTACTTAAAAAAAAATTTATTTGATTCATTAATTAATTTACTATATTTGATTCCAATCAATTTTATATATTTACTTGAATCAAATAATTTTTATTTGCATCAATTAAATGGTATTTGGTTCAAATACCAAAATTTTTGGTTCAAATAAATACAATTTATTTAATTTAAATAAAAATTATTTAATTCAAGTAAATATTTATTTGATAATAGACAAGTAATTAGTTATTTGAATAAAATAAAATTTGTTTTCAGTGTAAATTATATTTGTTTCAAATGAATTATATTCGTTTCAAATAAAGTATATTCGGTTCAAATAATTTATATTCGGATTAAAAAAATTATATTCGGTTCAAATAAATTATATTCGGTTCAAAAAAATTATATTTCTTTCAAACAAAATTATAATTGTTTCAAAAAAATTATATTCGGTGCAAACAAAATTATAATTGTTTCAAAAAAATTATTTTTGGTGCAAACAAAATTATAATTGTTTCAAAAAAATTATATTCGGTGCAAACAAAATTATAATTGTTTCAAAAAATCATATTCGGTTCAAATAGATTATATTCGGTTCAAAAAAATCATATTCGAGTCAAATAAATTATATTCGGTTCAACAAAATAATATTCGAGTCAAATAAATTATATTCGGTTCAAACAAAATTATATTTGCTTCAAAAAAATCATATTCAAGTCAAATAAATTATATTCGGTTCAAAAAAATTATATTTCTTTCAAACAAAATTATAATTATTTCAAAAAAATTATATTCGGTGCAAATAAAATTATAATTGTTTCAAAAAAATTATTTTTGGTGCGAAAAAAATTATAATTGTTTCAAAAATATTATATTCGGCTCAAATAAATAATATTTGATTCAAATAAACCATATTCGAATCAAATAAATTATTTTCAGTTCAAAAAAATTATATTTGTTTCAAAGAAATTATATTCGGTTCAGATAAATTACACTCAGTTAAAAAATAAATATCCCTGTGGGCGTTAAAAAAGACGCAATAGAGAGAAAATTAAAAGACCAATTCAAAATCGGTAGTTTAGTGTAATAAGTTCGAGTTACAGGGAAGGGACCCTATTGTGGAGGATGAGTCAGTTTCAAGGTTTCAACATAAAGAAGGGCTGACTGAAATGTGAAGAAAAGCTTATGAGGAGCAAAGATAAAAACCTACGATATTTATGTTCCCATAACCACGAAAAGACATGGGAAGAAAAAAAAATAAATGTCTATATATATCATTAAAAGTTTCTGGACTCCACCGTTCCAGTTCAGCTTTTACGAAGTCGAGCCGAGAGCCGCAACAACAATGGTACAGTTCCACCAAGCCCATGAAAATAAATAGTGTCATTTGTGCATGGCTTCTTTTATAAAAATAAATGTTATTTAGTTGTTTTTCTTTTAAAACAGTAGCTAAATAGTTTTCATACTGCGCTTTTTTTCCTGTTTATTATTCTCCTTTTCTAAAAATTCTAATTTTCTATTTTTTTACCCAAAAGTTTTGTTCTACTCTTTCTATTGTTTTCTATTAATATATTAATTAATATTAATTCACAAGTGCATATGCACACTGAGAAAATAATTTCTAAACATAATTTGTTTAAATTAAACTTTGAATTGAATAAAATAAATAATTTTGTTTCGAATAAAATTTTTATGGAAACCAAATAAATATTTACTTCAATCTAATAAATATTTACTTGTATCTAAGAGTTTGATTTATTTTTGAATTCAGATTCAATTATATAACAAAGCTTTACTTAAGAAAATTATCAAGTTCTAAAATATTTAATTCAAATTTTAGATTTTTAATACAAGCAGTAATTGAAAATTTTTTTTTCGACAGAAAACGAAAAATTTAACTCAATCTAAAAATTTCAAAAAAATCCATTTTTATCACTTCCCAAAAGTTCTGTTCTTATTCTATTGTTAACAAACGGTTTTATCTATTTTTAACAGCACAATAATTGGCTCCAAGCGGAAAAAAATTTCATACGCACACCACTGAACAAAGTTCATTGCGGATGCAATTTTACTTTAAAACTGACAATTGCTTTCTATATGCTACTCTCTTTCACAAAAACAAATTCTCCTCGAATTTTTAATTAATTTTAATGAAATGAAGTGAATAATATTACAGTTTAACAGAATAGAGGCGATATTTAAAATTAAAAAGTGAAATTGCAAATGTTAAATAAAATGAAAAAGACAAGTGAATTTCAAAACAAAACAAAAAATAAATAAATAAAAAGAAGGAAAGAAAGAAAGAGAAGAAAACGGTTAAAGAAAAATAAATCACGTGAAAACATTTCCTTCATCATTTATCAAAGTTAATGAATTTCAGATTCAGAAACTCAAACATTTTTAAAGAAGCTTATGGGTATTAAATATACTTTTTGTTAGGAAACTAAAACTTATTAAGTGTTAGTGGCAAACAATATTCCTAGAATCAATTTTCTCAGTAAATATATTTCTATTCCAAATCCTTTCTTTGTATTGGCAATTTCATTCAGAGACAGTAGATTAAAGGGTCGCTTGAGAAATAGCAGCGGATTTAGGAAAATAAATCGAATTGTATATAAATTAAAGGAAATTAAAAATTTTATTACCAAATTCAAATTTTTATGAGTAACAAATAAAATATTTCACAAGTTTAAAAAAAAACGTTTCTATGTGAATGAAACATTTTTCATAAAAAAATATTTTCATAAATTACTCAAAGCAGTAAAAATTAAAAAATTAAATTAAACACAAAGAAACTTTATAATTAATTTATTTGTTACGTGACGCAAAACTATTGTAATAAAAAATAAATAAATTTCCTTCAAAATTTTAGGGAAATTAAAAAATTCAAATTCATAAATCAAATTTTATAAGTGGCTCAAATAAATTAATTACATTAATTTAAATCAAAAAATTTTTTTTTAAATCAAATAAATTGTATTTGAACAAAAAATTTCGTTATTCGAAGCAAATAACATTTAATTGTTTTAATTAAAAATTATTTGATTCAAGCAAATTTTTATTTGATAATAAACAAATAATTAGTTATTTTAATCAAAGAATTTTTTTTAATGATTCATTTATTTGCTAAATTTATTCGTTAAACAAACAATAAACGATTGTTCATTTAAATAAAACAAATTTTTTCCAATAAAAAGAAAGAAAAGTAAAAAATAATCAAAATTTTCCAATTTACGCAAAAAACTATTAAAAACCTAAAGTTTAAAAATCCAAAAAACTATTTAGATACATATTCTTTACACCTCCGGTTAGTTTAAATTTAAACGAGTTACGAAACTAAACAAACCCAAAAATACTCTCAATTTTGATAGGAATAACAGAAAATTAAAAAAAAATCTAATTCTTTTTTACACCTCCAGCATATATACAGAATACAGAAATGGAAATACCAACTAAAAGAGAGAAACAAAAGAAAATCTAAATTTAATGTTACACACAAATTTCATTCTCTTTTGATTCTCGAAAAAGAGAATCAAAATTTCTACTCGAGTTGTATTTGAACTTGTTACAGTTGTATTACTTTTTTTCTGCAGTATACATAGGTACAAATTGTCCATTATCAAATTAAAAAGAAAAAAAGAGAGAAAACGGTTGAAAGCTATTATTAGAAAAAAGTTTTTCCTAAATTTAAATTCACTGCAAGGGCAAAAAGGATTTTATATTGAAACAGTAAAATGTCAAACCGCTTTTTCAATTCCATACTATAAGAGGGAGAACATTTATGAAATTCTTTTCATTCTTAATACACTTCATTGTACAAAATAAAAGGACACTATATTGACGTTTTTCGCTGTAAAATATTTTTGTTTTGTTTATATTTTTGCCGCGAAACTTTCATTAAAACTATATACGTATGTCTTTTTTTATGTAAAAACATATATATTTTGTTTTGTGTTTTAAAAATATGTTTTAATATCAAAAAACTTTGAATTTCGTTTTCGAACCTTCAGTTGACACACACTGGGTCATTTTGATCCGAATGAAGTATTAATTCAATTAAACCAAAATTTAATGAATAAAAAATTTTTATATTAAATTTTTGCTATTGATTAAAAAAGTTTTTTTTCGACTAAAAAGAATTTTTCATTTCGTTCAATTAGAAGTTAAATTTAATTAAATTTAATTAAATAATTGAATTTTCTACTTTTAAAATTTAATAACACGAATGTAGCTTATTCTGTAAATTTCTGTACAACACTAAGGAGAAAATTTTGAAAAATATTTATATTAGAATTTTACTTTTAGTAAAAATCCTATAGAATATTTACTATAGCCACAATTAACAAACAGTATTTGACAAAAATTGAGGTCCTTGAAAAAATACCGAAATAGAATATTTACTGAATTTTATCTAAAATCATTCTGTAGAACAATTCCAATTCTAAATGATTTTTTCGACTGAGGGAAATTAAGAGAAAAAATAAATTCTACTTTTCTTTTTTTTTTTTTTGATTTCGTGAAACAGAACTTTGTGCAAAAGATACGATACATTATACATAAGGACAATCGATTAAACAG